CTTAACAGTGGCGATTTCCCACGACGGAAGTCCGTCGGATTAACATTCTACAACTGTCACGACGTTAATCGTCAAAGTTTTCGGCGACGAGGGAGATAAGATGCTGGTAAGCTGCGCCATCTACTCGCTACGAAAATTTCTGACCAAGACGTACCGCTCACCATCTTAGAATTACCGAATTCACCTAAACTCCCTAAGCTCCGATTACAAATGACTATGTCCCAAAGTCATTCGTAAACCCTTTGGCACAAGATCCATGTCATAGATAATATATGATATATCGAAAATATCTCGAAATGCCATAACTGCTATTCGCGATGCCGATTGGCCGTCGCTATCGTCATTCAATGCGTGCGAATTAGCCGCTTTTCGAAAAAAATTCAGAATTACTTAAAATGTTTAAAGAAATGGAAAATTTTATAATTTTTTATATTAATCTCTGTCTCGATAGATGCAATAGACACCTAGCGAGTCAAATTTAAGACACGAATACCAACTGTGGATTGATAAAACTTCAAGTCTATTCAATAATGAATTTCAATTTATTACAAAACTTTTATTAATTTTTCGAAAACCGATACTGCCATAGGTAGCAATGTACGAGAATTGCACGGAACTTCCCTTATTATTTTCCCCTACAACTTTTTGCCTTATCTCTGCCCTCTAAGATAATCGAACACAAAACGACGATTTCCCGTCGTCGAAGAACCGGTCCATGGATACTCTTATTGGATTTCGCTCGAATTTTATCCTCCCTCTACCCTAATCTGTAACTCTTGCTTCGAGGAATAGTATCGCTATCGTTCGGCAAAATTGAATTTCCTAAAAAAAAGCATCCTTTTTCTCGCTATCATTTATGACGCCGTATCCCATTGTCCAACGTGCCTTCTGCTCCCGACAGCATCCACAGAGAAATTTAATAGCAGAGATGTAAGAAAAAAGTAAACTACAGAGACAATTAAATAATACTACAGAATTACGCAAATTTTAATTACGTAGTGTAATTTCGATTAAATAATTATCTCATCAATGCTAATTACTCGAGGACACGTGAACAAGAGAATCACGTTGTCCTTAATCAGTATGTATACATATATATAATTTAACCTATAAATTTTGCTTTGTTTTATATGAACAAAAAATGAAAATCAATAAGGACGGACGTTGGGACGCTGCGGTTTGGTCCATTGGATACGTGAGACGCGAAGATCGTAAAAGGGCGGACATGGCGTATGTGAGTTTTGGGAGGGAAGGGATGGCCGGTCGTGATCGAGCGACAGAATGACAAATTGATAAATAGAGGGCGAAGACAGAAAGTAATATGGTGCCGTGTGTCGCAAATGTATCTCAAACTACTATTACTATATATTAGGAACGTTAAATAATTCGAGGTGTGATTCGCGAGATGGTAAATTCTGGCGATTCAATTCAGCCCTTAAATGAGTTCTCGGGAGTTTTCATAAGGGTGAAAGTGTCACGAGAATACACGCGCGTAAGTTGATACGTCGATATTTTGCCAGGAGTGCTTTTTCAGATGAACCCCATTTACAGCAAGAAACATTATCGAATATATTCATGCAGAACTTATTCGCCCTACATCCTTTTCATGACAACCCTTGAATATTCAGTTACAAAAAATAACTAAATATCAATTTATGAATTGATCTACTACCCTTGTAACTTTTATCATTACGTAACTTAAAATACACCATATATATATAATCTCGAGCTACTCTTAGTTACTTTTCCCTAAGGACTTTTTTAAGGGTGTCCTCTTCATATTCTCGAGATTTTCAACGTACTGTATCACAGGATACAATGTTATATTATAGCAACCCTTAAGCATACGCTTGTGTAAATCTGACCTCGTGATAATGCAATCTTCCTGAGAATGTAAGAGCATTGTTGCTTGTACAGATTGGCAAAGAGAGAGACAGAGAGAGAGAGAGAGAGAGAGAGAGAGAGAGAGAGAGAGAGATGGAGGGGGTGTCAAGAATAAATGTATAGTGTGTGTACGTATACAGATGTTACTCAAACGGCAGGGATGGTGTGCTACAGGGGAAGCTTATAGAGGGTGGCACCCATTGTCCCCAGGGTAGAAGGATGCCCGGGCCTGCGTTTGGCCTAACTAAATTTAGAGGTGCGACCTCAGATCATTGCTTCTGTTGTCGCTACAACCACCGTATATACTTTTTCAGGATGATTTTTCATAATGATTTTTTGTCATGATTTGAGGCACCAAGGAAGATCAAGAGGAGGAAAGATAATTTCCGTAAATGGGATTGTGGTAAGACGGTGTGACAATTACGTCAGGATAAAATTAATGATGCGGTAAAAAAAAAAAATTCGCCCTTTTACAGGAGTCTTTTGCTTTTCTTTTTGTCTTTCTTGAAAAGATAAAGCAATCGCGTGGATCTAAGTTATGGTGCGTACGAATCATAAATGCTGTTGCGATTTCACTCGCGCCAAATATTACTGAAATGTATGACGAACTATAGAACTCAGTTGCATGCGAAAAGAACTCCCATTTATTTGTGATCTGCTGGAAGTTGATCCGCCAACTTCACGCGCATAGACGCTCGCGTGCGAGCTGAATTTTATTTTTCAAGTCATTTGTCAATAGTCAAATATACATCAGGTGTGCCGAAAGACAAGCAAAACAGAGCGTGACACGTGGGAGGAAAGCAAGATAAGAGGGATGCTCTGAGATAGTAAAGCGAAAGGGTTGGCGGGGGTGGATTTTGATTTAGAATCCACTCAACGGAATCCCGCAACGGTACGTGTTTTCTTTCTTTCATTTTATCATCCAAGAAATTGAGGGTGGGAGTCTTAACACGTTGATTGTCATGGTAAGGGGGATGAAGTATCTTCCCCAAGGGAATATTCGAGACGTCGATAATACAACGGGTGGAAAATTTATTCGAGACAATTCTACTACTCGGTGTTACTATTTTTATTAAAGTTTTACTTGCTCGTTTTAATAATTATTTACGCGAAGGGTTATCTGAGGGATGATTTATCGAAGGTTTAAATTTTTCAATTCCAAACCTACGGTAATGTTTATTCGAAGATTTTGCATCCTGTCGGTATATGTATATGACTTTATGGTGTTATTTTGTACACCCGGTTTGTAAGCGTATCTATTTTGCGGTTTGGTATCGACCTCTTTAATATATTCTGCATCCCTCTAGAAGCTGGGCATCTACTTTGTGCTGGACCTTTAGGGGTTGTATACACTGTGGTTGCTAAGCTGCCTGCACCTCTGACCAAAGTTGACCTCTTGCTGAAACCTCGACCTAGCGATTAGCGTCTCTTAGTGCATTCTCATGTTGCAATCTACTATGGGAATCGCTTGGTATGCTGATGAATTAGCAAGAGGAGGTCTTGAATCATAATTGATAAAGGACAAAAATTTGCCTTTTGCTACAATTATACGTATGTGTATATGTATATACATTTTTTAAATTTTTACTTAATGCAAGTAATAAGTTTTTGAAAATGCAATTGAAATTTCCCAAGGAGTCTATAAGATGCCTAAAGACTCCTATACTAATTTTTTATTTCATTAAAATAATTTTTCTTTCATTTTAGATCCACATTACGAACAATCCATATTCCAAAACTATATTCCTTAATGCAATTTTTTTTTCAAGTGTATTTTTACTAAAATTTTTTGTAACGAAGGGGGCTATGTATGTTATGTCGACAAATTAATTTCTGATTTGATGAAAACAAATATTGTTCTCGTTAGAATTTAGTCGTAAAAATATTTTGGACAAATCAGTAAATATTTTATGTCGCGGTGTGGTAGAAAGTTTTTTTGGAAATTTCTTCGGAATTCCCTGGAAGTATCTTTAGCTTCGTAATTTCCTGCATGTCTTCAAGATTCCATCGATAATAAAGGGGATATCATTGAGTTAACCGTGTGCACATACACTTCGCCCGGAGTTGGATACGATGGAATGTTTTTGATGTAAGAGGCAAGATCCAGCCTGAATTGCAGGATGCAGCATCATAAGCAGATTGCATGGACCGCTTCACTGGTCAAATCAATTATCGACTCTCTGTTATCGCCACCTCGTAGAATCTTACTTGGTGAAAGTTTCAAGCTGCTGTCTATTCGTGACGCAAATGCCTCATTAGGTCTTACTTAAGTTTTTACTTCCTTTCTATTATCGTGAAAATAGACGAGATAGATATCTGGTATTTTCATGCGACGTATTTTTCCGACTAATTGCTCATAATCGTTTTTCTTTTACCGACACTTACAAATTATTTCATTACGCCCTAGGCACTTTTCTATGCAATAAATATCCTTCAATGCGTAAGATAATTTATTGGGAGATGTTAATTAATACCTACTATTAATAAAGAACAATTCCTTATGGAGTATCGTTGACTGAAGATATAGAGATGGAGGTATCTTACCCCCATATGGTGTCACGTAAACTTGCGCTTCGTAGATACCCGCACATGAAGTTACCGACCGAGCCATCAACGTTACTAATGCACCGAAAGATGGTACTGCCCACTGAACGAAATGCCTATGTTACTTTTGGGTTAATTAGTACGAAAGTGGTAAATAACAGTTCCGGACTCCCCGGATAGGTTTTAACAATAGTTCTGCTACGCAACATCGGTAAAATATCTATTAAGTATACTGGTGGCATCATACACATCATACACTTGATTTGTCATATTAAACTTACCGAGCTTACACTGTGCGCTCGAATTTAGGATTGAAAAGAAAAAGTATTTAGGCTATATCCGATGAGCTTCCTCGTTCTAAGTGTTGGTTTGGGAACCAGCGATAAGTGGGAGAGAACAACCTCTACCTGCCAAGCTAAACGTTCGTGATTGCGGTCAGCTCGGCTACGACGGGATCTGCATTATCGACGGAGGCGATGATCACGAAATCCTACTCCCGGACTCGCCGCTACGATTTAGCGCCATGCTTTTGGTATCGCCTAAAACCGGAGCGTTGTGCATCTCCCCACTCATCTCTGTTGAGACGAAGCACAGTCCGAAGCCCGTGGATATAGTAATAATAATACATGGTACAGTATATCTTAAGATCGTGCTTAAAACGAAGAAGTGACTCTGAATACGGGCCCTAGTCTATTTCTCTTCCGCCAACAGTAAACCATAATATACCTACAGACGTTACAGATAATCGAAAATAAAGAATAGTGCGGTACTTACAGCGTGGACGTTCTTCCTTATCGATAGAATCTTCGTAGCTGGTTTCCTCCTCATCAGTGTTTACTCTGCACCAGCCTGCAACGATGAAAACAAGTAAGATACGATAAATTAATGACATTCACGACAAACTAAATTACGCCACACCAGAACTTCGATCCTAACCTTTCCTGAAGAATCGTCCTAGACTCGACGTGCCTCTTTTTCTCTTCTTCAATCTACGTCGCTCCTTCCTTTCGATACTACAGACATCCTCCTCCATATCCAGCGCGGATGAACTCTTGGTAAACGAACAAAAAATTCAAAAAATTCTTTAAGATCCTATGCCACCGTACCACGGAAACAAAAGAATTATTTATAAAAAGCACCGTAGTTCAAAACGTCGCAAGGACGTCGCCATATTAAAATTCACCAGGTTTTTGTCACGTAGCCGACTATAATACGTCACAGGATGAATACGAACGATCGATGATTTATGTACAGTCTCCATAAAAATCGAGACATTGCACCCCGTCTTTGTTGTAGATATCAATTGCATTAATAAGCCCTGGCCGATTGTCCTTTACAAATTATGCTCCATTGCATGAATCGAATATATAAAGATGACGATGTGTTCTATTTATAAAATCTAAGGGTCCGAAGTCAAATATTAAAAGTGCATTTATCATATATCAGTCTGACGTTACAGCCAGTCTAGTTATTCCCATATTCTTTTGCTCCCCTTTAAAAATAGAACCTCTCAGCCATGCCTAGAGAGAACTCACGATTTTACGACACCGCGCGAATGCCCGTGTCATTGACGACTCAAGACAGCAGAAAGATTTACTCGTTTCAAACGAAACCTATCGTACGTGCCAATACAAATATTTTTCATTCGCTAAGCAGCAACTTTGACAATGAACTAGCCATTAGGTATATAACACATGCAGATTCATTCAGTACAAGTGCACCGACTGAATTTCATTCCATCATAAATATTGTATGAGCACCTTAACCTCGATCAGTGCGTTCGTTGTGGACCACCCTATATACATATTGTAAAACAACACTCTTTATCCAGATCAAACTTATCGTTACGCGCCAATTTTTTGTTTTTATGCACAACCATGAAAATACTTTCTAAATTTTATCTTATCAATTGGAATTAACGATAGATACCATATCTTCCCACATTTTTTCTTCTCACTTCGAACGAATCGACCCGTTACGTCTTTTTAATCCTTGTTCGGCGGTATCCGGCTGTAAACTAAAAACAGTGAAACCCGCTTCGGCAGACGGTAGCCTCTTAAGCTACCCGAGAAAGAATTCCATTACTTGTTATCCCGCCCTAACGTGCTCCTCTCATAACTTAACCTCTTTCCCAACGGCAGTGTGTATCACAATTGGGATTATTTTTAGGATGAGGTTTATATTACGCGTATATTACGGGCCTCATGATTTCTAGTGGTGTCTGTTTTCTTAGGTAGGCACGGCTGACAGGCGATGAGTATTCCGGCGCATCTGGTTGCATCGGGATCAACAGAACTTGTAACAGTCAATCTGGTGCATTTGGTACAAGGGGGGTTAATTTGGAAAATCGCATGCGCCGTATTTCCCGCGGTTATATTCGAACTCTTGTTATGTTTACAGTCTGTCAGTTTTGACAGCTAGATGTACGAATAAATTAAACGGCATAGTATGTACACACGTAGACCTAAGGTCTATTGATTTTTGATCCATACAAATTTGGCATATCGGTTGACCTAGAATTTTGGAAAATTTATCCAGAAGTCCTGACTAGATTGCAAATGGCAATTGCGTAATTGTGCTTTAAGGAACTTTTTTTATCACTCTCTTATCACTGTATCTTGGACACAGGTATTAAGCACACTAACAATAACCCACCATGTATTTCACTGGTCGACACAATCGGATCCGAGAAGTTGGAAATTTTAAAAATTTCAAGCGGAGCGAACGAATTCTCGCGAAAATATTTCTCAAGCAGCAGCGGCACTTGGCAAACTGTGCGCTGAGCGACGCATAACTCATTCGCGAATCTCCGCGATTGTGTCGTGGGATGACCAGGGCTATTCGCGGGTCACGCCGGTGTCCGGTGGCGGCTTAGAGATTTTTGGCAAATTGCCAGAAACGCCCGCGCTTGTTTTTTTTTTTTTTTTTTTTTTTTTTTTTTTTTTTTTTTTTTTTTTTTTTTTTTTTTTTTTTTTCTTTTTCTAACTTGAAGTATGTTGAGAGGACAAGAAGAGGATTCGAGGAGTGTTGCGTAATAAAAAATGAATTATCGGTGCGTACGTAGGACAGTGCTTGGCAAGTATCCTCGGTTCAATCATGCCGACCTTCCGTTGACCCAGGTCCACCTAACGATGACTCGATCGGTATGAATTATCATTGAGATTACTTTAATCGTCACGGCCAACCTGAGACTGTCAAAGGCGTGAGAACACGGGGTGTTAGATGTCGAGCAGTTTAAAGTGCTGTTGCCAAGTAATAAGTAACTGTAGTTGCCTTGTTGCTGTTTTACCTGGGCTCCATTTCCAGATAGTAACTGTCGTCGAGCAATCATCTGTTAGCCTACAAGGAAGGCGTTTAATACTCTTTAGAGAACGACTCTTTGCTCTCCTCGTGGTTTACGAGGCGCAAGAAAGTCTGCACAGTTAGCCAGCTCGAGCCAGTCTTCGCGGGCTACTGAGAAATTTATATGGCAGATCGCAATTGCACCACCCCGCTGTCCCATCGGATGCTGGGCTAATTGAACCACCGGGTAGAGCGAACCTTAGCGACCTGAAGATTGCGCCTTTCAGTTGGTTCGGAAAGGACGATAACATTTTTCAAATCATTTTCATTCAACGATCACGATTACTGTATATATGGATTTATCGGACGTCTTAGGGCGAACGAAGTATAGGATAGTTTAGAAATAAAATATTTTTTGTTTTCCTTTTTTTGCTAGGGGGGCACGAGACTGCCATTAAAAAATATTATACAACTGTTACCTAGTGAAGTAGACGTCGTGCCAGATCAAGGGAACTTGGTCTGGGTCAGTTGTTAAATATTTAGGAGGTTCAGCCCGGGGTTAGTTGTAAGGTCTCGCCTTGACAATGGCTTTAGATCGCTTCGGCGTGCCTTGTAGAACGAGAGTTTACAATGACGGAGTATAGCTGGAGAATTGTGGATCGGTGGCTGGAAGAGGATCCTATATTTTTTAAGTGACACCGCGTCCCAACCGTTCTCCTTTTCTTTCTGCTTCTTTTAACCAAACTACCCGAAAATCCCCGGATCATTCTCTTTATCAATTCTTTCGGCGCGGTGAAGATCGTGAAGTTTTGAAAAATTCATTATTTCCAATACAACTTCAGGGAATAGATATGTCCCAGCGCCGTAGGTGGTAGCGAAGCATAATGGAATATCCTGGCTCGTGTCGCCAAAGACGACTTCGGCCAATGGAACGAGGCGGCTGATCTCAGCAATTCTGTGCTATTCAGACACTGGAAGGAAAGGGCAAGCAGCTGTGTCAGCCGAATGAGATGCAAGATGAGATTAAAAAATCGAAGAGAGGTATAATTTTGACAATGACTGTATTTGCACTGGCACCGACCGTGTTAACTGGTTTGGCAGAAAGCTATCAAAGTAATTAATTCTTAATTATTAATTACAGACGTCCTTCGTTGATTTCGTCGACGGCTGCGAGCAAACGAAAAATAATAACGACCCGAGCATGAGCCGTAACCTCGGAAAAGTCAGATTGTTAAAGAAACACATTGAGCTATGTCAAAAGGAAGATACTAACGAGTAGTCACGGAGTAAATGAGTGCTGGCTTCAGTTAAATTAATTACGCCGATGGTAATTACACTTAGCAGCTGAGAGCTACGTGCATCCTGCGTTAAACGGTGCCAGGCGCTTCTTCTGCAACCCTCCCGGCGCGGCCCTGGATCGTTAGCGTCCAAGCCATTGACTGTCTATACGACATATGTACGCATACCTATGTGCGAACCCAGCCGTTGGACATTTGATAGAAAAGTTCATGTTTCCCAGAAAGTAAGTACCAACGTAATAATTGCACGGTGAAGTAAAATTGTGAATTTATGGGACAACAAAGATTTTTTTCTAACAAATATTCTCTCTTCGGGTAGATAAAATTAAAAGGTGATCTATACCTTCTACCATACGTAACAGGATGTTACAGTCTCTCCCTGCTCCCCTTTTCACCCCGGGGTCCATCACTTCGAACAAAGTGAACTGGCATCATGGACCGCACACGGTGAACTGGCAACAATAGTAATTCTCGCGGCGAGTTACACGGAGGTACAGAGGTAGGTACACAATGTTGCCTCTCGAAGGGGAATGGCGGACATTGGCTGGTCGTTTCCCAAGCCGTGCCCTCGAGGGACTTGGCGAAGAGTCAGTGATGAAGGCTGGACAAGGGAGGTAGACGGGAGGTGGAAGAACGAAGACACGACACGATCGGATATCTCGGTAGGACGGGAAAGGACTTGGAAGGAAGATGGAGTAAAGAGGAGTGGACTGGTCTGGGGACTGTTTGTCGGACATACCTGGGGGCCGCCACCCTGGCGTCTAATTGCGTGTAATGCACTCTGGCTTCCCTGGCAGTAGTTGCCGCCAGAAGAGGACGGCGAAAAACTCGGGTCGCGCACCGGCAAAACCCGCGATCAGGGGACGCCGTGTTATGTCCGGCACGCTCGGACCCACACGACGTCGACGTGGCCGATCTTCTCGATCCTCCCGATACTTTGACGAATGCTACCACTTTGGATGAAGACGTGTTCCCCGTTGGTAGCTCCTCGCGATACTCGTCGCTACGGTCCGAAATAGCACTTCGCCATATGGGATTTTTATTCGAACGTTCTAGAACGTACTGGTCATTTTTGCGATGGGGCTTTATGACCAAACCGGAAAGTGGTCATTTTTTTAGTGGATTATAATACAGTAGTGGGGCTTCTAGAATCGGATTGAATGTTGAGCTTTTATTAATATTGTTTCTATGACTGTTTTTGTGAATTTTCATAAAAGCGAAATGAAATACCTGAAGGTGAGTTCGTCGGGTATTCGATGAGGTGGAACGACAGGTCGAGCATTTAACGTGGCCAGGATCTGTCGTTAGGAATTTTTTGTCGCGCCTGGTTATTATGAATAATGATTTATGCCTTGTCTCTCGTGTTCGAGGGACAGAAGAAGGAGTTAATGACGGTCGCGTGTTGTAATGCCTGCCATTATCTACAAACCTTACCGCCTAACAAGCTACCTGCTAATGACACACGACTCGCACATGATCACATGCGTGATCTTATTTAGTCACAATTTTTGTCATTCTATCCACGAATTTGGTCATTTTAAACCAATGTTACACATTGAACAAAGTCCGTGAAAATTGGATTTACGGACGTTTGAAAAGATTTTCAAAAAAAAAAAATTGTATAAGAATCAACCTGTTTGAGAAGAAAAAAATCTAATTCATGAAAAAAAACCATTGTCCGAGGGATAAGAATGTGTTCTAATTATAACATACGGAAGTATCGTTTAAGAATTTTCAAAAAGCAACGGTGTCTTCATTCGACCTGTTTTCCAAAAGGGGTGAATTGGTCATGGCCTTCTCAAAGAAAAACTAACCCTAAAAAAAACTTTGCCGAAACCAACCGGAAATACCAGCATCCGCGGAGGCTATCGCTGGACAATGGCATTGTTCCAGCAAAAGGTGGATTTCTCTTAATGGAGGGCTCTCGAAGGGCTGGATGAAGGAACAAAAATCGGCTCCGGTAGCCGACCTGACTGGGGTCCATTCAGAGATCAGTATCCACTATCTCCACGTTATATTACTTATTGGAAATACTACGTTGGAATTCGATTGATACGTTCGGGATATTCATAACGAAGAATCGTAGATACACCTGCGGGATGAATCGTGGTGAAACTTTATGAATGAGTCTGAGCCGTCCTAAGGGGATGTTTGGAAAAAGACAATCCTTCCGGGAAGAGGATCCAATCCGTCTCATTGACTAACAAACAGATCCCTGTTAAAGTTGGAAAGATTTTAATTATCATGATTATCGATGGCATAAAAAGCCATAAGACCCAATATCCGGTCTGAATACATATTACATATAACAAAAATCTACATCTACAGCATCTTCCAGATAACTTTGTTCCAGGAGATACGCCATATGTACAAGACGCCATTGTCAGACCATTTCCTCCAGATCTCGTGGTTATGCTCTTTTCATAACCCAGACTCACTGATAACTCCATAGCAGGTATTGCCATCGGTACCTGAGACACCCGGCTGGGTTTTGACGTTTTTGTCCGTGACAGTCGTAAACCAATAATAGAGAGGAGACCGCCTTCGTCCTTAGCTCGGTGGTTCCGCGCCATCCCACTTTCCAAGCCTTTTTCAGGGCTTTATTCTCATTTCATAAGCGGCTCCTTTATACGCCATGTTACTTATCTCAAAGCATTAACCAGCTCATCTCTTTCGGCGTTTACGACGCGGCACGCGGAGATGCCTCCCACAGTCACAGCCGTGGGAGATCGTTCGCAGTCGAGTTTAACATTCGTTTTAATAGTCGTCATTTGGGAATAACCTAGAAAGAAAAATTAACCCAGGACACGTCAGGTAATCGATGGTCGGACGGTGGCTGGAGCAAAAATATGATTGAACGTTAAAAATAAGGAATAAACAAATACTTGATCTCGGTGTCGATCCACTGATTATTTTGACAATACAGTTTATTGATCCGCCAGAAGAGTCATCGGCGTTCCGATTGGCTAGAGGAGCTATCTGGGTCATCCGGAGGAGGTCGGATCGCTTCGAGTTCGTCGAGTTGAGCAACCGGCGTCCGATGCTTCCCCGAATTAATGCCTATTACAGCACAGGGACAATCGCTCGAGCGGCAGAAGACAAGTAGGCGGCGAGTCGCACAAAAGGAACTCTGCAAAAGTCAATCAGTAGCGGAGCAATTACGCGGCCGAGCGAACGCTCTCGAGCGTGGGTACGTCCTATCCGCGGGTGGCAAGGATCCTAGTACACCCGGAGGAGATGAAAGGAGGTGAAGTTAGTCGAAGGAGCCGCGGATGACGAGGACAGGGACGAGGGAGAAGGTTTACGAGCCGCGAGATGACAGGGCACGCGATGCGAGAGTCGCCACTTCCGCTACTCCTTTCTACATTGTCCCTTTTGGCAGGAGTTGGCTCTGCTATCTGTTACGGAGTCGCTAGAAAAAATTGATCTGAATTTCCAAAAAAAATTTACTCATAAAATATTCGGGATCGTAAAAAAATATATATATACAAAATCATACGATTTTACCGAAAATTGATTTTTTATTGATTTAAAAAAAATTTTATACATGATCGGATTTCATCGTAACTCAAAGCCATCTCTAAGCGCTTAACGTTGTACATGCAGGATACTAGTTGCTGGCTGCTGGCAATTACATCGGGGCCAGTCTCAGAAAAACTATTTGTAGATCGGTTGCCAATTACATCGGAAGAGACGAAGGTTGGTCTCCAATTTGCCGTAAACTCAGGAGCAAAGGGCGGATGTCACCGAAAAGGTGTGGCGAGGGATTCTTATTGGAAATTGTGTTACTAGGAAAAGAGAAAAAAATTGTCTCTTGTTTTACACGTATATCCATGGTATAACGTGCCTTATAGGCCATAAGACATATTTACATAGACAGATGTAGCGAGGACCCTTTTTAACGAGAGTCTATTTATTGTTTTACTCCGTAAGAAACGCTCTGGTACATAATGCATGGGGTCGTACAGAATAGAATCGTCTGGTCATCATAGAAATAGAATTTTCTATAGACAAATATATACTGCGATAACAAATAGACTTATGGATTATTTATATATATATATGTCGGAATGATATAAAGGGTGTATCGATATCAAGCGTTGTCAGTAAAATGCAAAAGGTGCGAACGCAGTTAAACGGCACATGCACCGTGGCACGAAAGGCGTAATGCAGAGAGCGGCGTCTGGTGACGTAGTCCGGGGCTTCCTCTTTGGCCAGACTTCCTGTCGGAAACAATCGTCGCGATTCATGCAAGGTGCTCATTCACATTACGAGCGTCTTTTACACCCAAGGACGCCGACGGATTTTTTTTTGGCATTCGCAATGCAGCGCATAGTGGCGCAACCTGTCAATGACATTAGAACTGCCGAATTGAGGTTACAGGTAACCTTACAGGTAACGATACGATTACAGGTAAAATGGAAAATAAAGGTGGGTATATAATAATACATCACTGTACTATATTAAATTACTATATTATATCAAAATGTTATTCATTGTCGAAAATGAGAAAAAATTTTTTTTTAAATAAATCACGTACGAGTCGCTATAAGATACCGTCGTATGTGAATATGTGCATCACAGTACATTCGCGTCGATGACGTAGTCCATTGCGAATGCACGTTTCAACTCCGACAAGTGATTTCACGTGCACGCATTAATCTCGCGCGTCAATGAATGAAATGGCGAAGAATGTCATTGAGAACCTTCGGACAATGAAATGTCTCTTGGGTCGGAGACACGTACCTGATAATGCGTGAACGTAGCTGACTGCACGCGTGATCAACCAGCATGATTTAGGGAATTCAAAGAGAGAACTATCCTCGTACAGTACAGTGTTAAGCGGGGATGCGATTTTTATAAAAAAAAAAAAAAAAAAAAAAAAAAAAAAAAAAAAAAAAAAAAAAAAAAAAAATAAAAAAAATAAATAAATACGATAACTAACGAATGTGATTGAATCACATCGGCGATCGATCAGAAATGAATATTTGGCAATCATCACCTCAGGGTGATGGACGTTATGGAAGACGATTATACCAAAGGATACTTTCTATCTGTCATACTTGCGTAAGCGTGAGTACGAGTATTTCCAAAAAAAGGAGTTACCGCAAGAAACGAAACGTGCAAGAGTAGGAGCGAAGGAGAGTGACGGGTACAGTGTCCTCCCTCTGCCGCGAGGAAGGGTGGATGGCGAGGACGGGAGGGAATGGAGGAATACCGAAAGAAAGTTAACTGTGGGACAATAGAGACGAGCGCGAACGTACACAATGCCGAAAACTGCGACATCTACGCCAGCTCATCGACATCCGGAGGAAGGCGCCTCGGCCATGCATATTAATTGCGCTGTTTATCAATGCTAATGGATTCTTCTAATTAACCAGGCGAGGCAGTAAAAAGGCATGGCGTTAGCGCCCTGAAGATTCCCAAGTTTTCACGTATGTGCATACACGCTCAGCACTCTGGCCATGGAGTGTATCGATTCATCCGTCAATTTATACGTACCTGGTGGAGTCGATAGACGCCGGACGTTCGCTTTGGGAATCATCGAGGACCCGAGTGTCGACCTGGGACCCCTTGGTGTTGCTTCTACGAAATCGAATCGAACGGCGCTTAAACTACACAGCGGGTGGACGGAACGATCTTGGTTGGTACCTTTCGGTTTTATCTGCTACGAAAAATACTGGATGCGCGTCTTGACAGAAGATGAGGAAGATGCAGGAAGACTGTCCGACGTGAGGTGGTTCCGCGAACTGACAGACCTAGACAATACGAAGTGGATTGTCCGAGTGTCAAATGCGACTATGACATACAAAAGGGATGATAGTAGATCCCTTTAAGCTCTTTGAGAATCCGTATGAAGATCTATATTTTTTTTTGGTTTTTTTCCTCACCAGATCGAACGATGAAGAACAGCGATCGTTGTTGAATGAATTTATTTAGCATTTTCGATATCGTGACATTTTTATTGTACAAATAAATGTTTTTTAAATTCTTTTTTGCTTTAATATTACCGAGATTAATTGCTGTGTCTACGAGTAGTATACAAGGTGGACGCCTGAGCTGATGGACGCGATGACTTCTGGTTGCAGAGGAGGGCACATGTATCCCTTCCATCTTCCTCGGGTTCGTTAGGTGGTCAAGGTAGTGGGGGAATGCGGGAAGAGAGGGGATTGGAAGAAGCGTCGGAGGGGTAGATGAGAAGAATATCTTGCGGTGTTGGTACTAGAAAAAATTTTTTCAACAAAATCATCCATTCGCTCTCCCACTTCGTAAGACATGTTGTATATACCGATTGTACCGGGTGTACAATTTTTGTATTAAATTTAACAACGATGCTGTAAGCATAAACGTGTGTTACAACGTCATGAAGAAATTTGAAGATTTAATTCACGTGCGGTGAGACGTTACCGTGTAACGAGATCCACTGCGAAATGAAGACAAACGACTATTTGAAAGAAGCAGAGTAAGGAGATCTTGGTAGACAGTGGGGTTTCGGTCCACGAGGAAGATCACTAGAATATAGTACGATCTTCCAGCAAAAGGGGCCCACGTTCTCTGAAGTCAAGAACGCTTTGTCTCAGAGACGCCTCCTATACACGAGAGCACCTTCCGCCAGCTGTTATGATCGTCCAGGTTCCGCGAATCGCTGGATCACGATCAATGGATCTTTGCCTATCCAGTCAGCCAGTCGATCAGTGGAGATTCCGTTATATAATTTAATAGAAAATATCGATCCTAGGTACATTCGCGTGTGAAGCCTTACACGCGTACACGAGTATATTAATAAAAATTAATGTAATATTTTAATTGAAAAATTGAAAAAAAAGAATATATTTCAAATAATTCATCAAAATCTGCCGGAACATAATGGTAAAACAAAAATCATGGGTCGGCCTTTATATCGATGTAACAAGATGGCCGCCGCCACTAATGGAATCCAGGCTCGCGGTTCACGGTGTAATTTGAATTCCTTACAAACGTACACCTTCACTTTTCTACAGGATGGACGAAGAAGCTTACACACACAGAAGTTGGATCGGTAGAGTGTTGCGCGGCGCTTATTGATTGACGTCCTGTCAGCTCTAATAACCATAGGGGTACCAAAATGGCGGCTGGGCCCAACCTCGGTCCCACTCCAAGGCTCCGTAGCACGAAATGGCCGCGGTATATATCCAAGTCTGTTTCTTTACTTCTCTCTCTGTTCCCATTATCTTCTTTAATTCTCTCTTACTTTCCTTGCCTCTCATAGCGCCTTCCTCTCTTGAGCGCACGCGCGCGCGCGCCTCCCGTCGGACTTGCAAATCATCGCAATGTCAGCCGATCGAACCGATTCGCCTGGGGAGCAGAACGGCCGGAGATCCGTACAGTAGCAGCAACCGAACGCCAAGATCTTCAATAGCGACTACCGACGACCGCCTGATGAACGGATTGACGAATGGACGGTCAGGGTGCGGGTCGATGCCCGGCGAAGGCCGCTAACAATGCCTAATCTTTTCCAGGAAGCTGACACAACTCGCCGCTCTGGTACCGAAGTGCCGAGTCGCCTTCGAGGATCGAAAGGTGCGTCGCGCCCGATTTCAACGAGTTTCTAAGACGCTCATTACGCATTATCGATGGAACCGAGGATACTTGAGAGTTCGGAGTTGACACAGCCCCTGGCATACGTGAATAAGAACGCCAACGAGGGACCCAGACACAAAAGAGACTTATGGTGGGTGTATGCAGACAGGAGCAATAAACTCTCCACGTCAAGATCTGTGTTTCGTATCAAACCGCATTAATATGGTTTAATTGAAAGGCGAGAAGAAATGACGTGAGTAAAAAAATTTACTTTGCCAGCTAAAAGTGTTATGGTAAAGATTTACAGTGAATATTTTAATTGCAAGGTTTACGTGGAACCTCGTGAAGGATGGACGAAATTCTTTATGTCCTCTCAAGGGACCTTCTGGACCATCGTGGAGAATTAATATAAGACGCTCCAAAAATTCTCATGGTTTCCATTCAGTCAACGACAGATTCAATTACGCTCGCGACTCGGCAGAGCTAATAGCAACGCACGGTCCCTCATTATATCACTTTCGCTCGAATGCCTCCCAGTTGCAACAGGAGCAAATCCTCTGAGCTACCGGTAGATTGAATCTCTTTGTGAAGCGCCTTGAGGTCTGCAGCTCCTTGGACGATATACGCAAGTAGGCTGCTAGCCATGAATAAAGTGCTGCCAACCGGCTTGGTATTGTCTACGGTAATGAACTTGCAAGGTATTCACTGGTACCAACATCCAGCCAGTCTGGTCTTACGGAGCGTCGTTGATGTTTGCGTCGGGAAACGAAGAATCCGCACGTCAGCAGGCGTCGGTATCAAGAACGATGGACACTCGTCGAGAATAATGGTAGTCCTTGCTCATACGATCTGCCTGAAAGAAATTGCACAACGCTGTTGACACTTGCGTTTGCTTAGTTGGCTGAGTTGCGACAGCGAGGAGGAAAAAAATAATTATAATGATAATCCGGCCATTCTGCGAGTCCGATGTAAATTCACCGAGTCCGAGCAATTCACGTCTCTCGGGAGCTGGGGTAGCCATGATGAAAGTATCTTCGGCAGATGAGTAGCCGGTGAGTCTATTAACCGACTACGGGAGTGTAATATTAATTTGATTAGAGTCTCTCTCCTTCTCGTAGTACGGTAGATGGATAGAGGAGCGAGCTGTGGTGTATATGGTGTGCGATGGTTTGATGGGGTGAACCATGGAGAGCCATGGAGAGCCATGGAGAGCCATGGAGAGTCAGGCATCTTGCCGGTCACCGTTCCACGAAGTTCGCGTCTTGGATCTTCTCGCGGCTCGTCGTCTCTCCCACGGCCCTGCCTTCGAGTCTCGTTACCTATGTACCTAACGTCGCTCGGTCCAGGGGCTTTGCTTTCGTTTCGTGGCTCTCTCTAAGACCATCAGCATCCTATCGGGCCGTATCGACACCTCCTACGATGCCATGGCCCAACTTAACCCCAGCACCCCATTATTCCCCCTTAACGATATTTGGGCCAGTGGTCACCGCATTCCGATCTTGACGATTCCTTGAATTTCGGTTAACCCTTAACCCCTGATTCTGGGGTGGATGGACGTGGGGTGTGACTTCAGATTAGGTGGACCAAGTACACGTTATGGGTACCGACCTACTTCACTATACACGGGGCTGTATATAAGTTTTGGGGAATGTACCTTAGATCCCTTATACAGGGTTTGATTTTTTGTTATCACTGTCTATCCATTTATCCATCTATCGTACATTCTGGAGATGCTCGTACAAAATTGCGTGGGTGTAATTGAACCAGATTGATGTCTTACCTGCGATAATATATCTTTTACGGATCAACGAACGATCTGTACATTTTACCGGACGCTAATGACATCTATTATATACAGCACTGCGAATTATATTCATTCTCAAGGTTGGATCAAATAAAATATCCTGGGCTGGTATCTGTCCAATTGTTAAAATGATAATTGATATTTATTGGACGTCGCGTGTTATTACTTTTTCTCGTAAGAAATCATGGCAAAAAGTTTACTTCTCACGAGGCACCGTTATTCGCCTCTTGGCAGTTATTGCGTATCGCTCATGCGGTGTCTTTGACTGTTGTCGAAACCAGCGAGCGTTAAGTTACTATTTGAACGAGCGATCAAGTCCAAGAGCGTTATAGAGCCAGTCGTAGAATTGCCAACTCGAATACTATTGATCACGGTTATATCCTAGTATGGTAAAATTGATTAAGAATCTTTAAGACTTTCATGGGTCTGCGTGTTGAAAACATGGTTGACTGTCAGGGATATACTTGGTTAGATCACGTAAGGAGCGTGGCGCATCTTCAATCTTTTTCATGAGTGAAGAGCTCGGCTCTTCTGGGAATAATGATGCGCCCAATAGCGCCCTCGTAGGTATCGATACGTGTCTTGTAGTAGTTAGCTACGGAGCAGACGGCGGCGATCCAGTCTTTTATTCATTAATTAATTCAATTATGCTTACCTTAAGGCGTGATTACATCGACGGATCACTTGTTCGAGAGATTCACGGCCACCCTGGTGTGTTTGTTAACTTATCAGGATCCTAGAAGAAAAGACATTGACAGATCTCTTAATGATGATATATCATTGTGGAGAAAAAACGGGAAGGGTGGTATAATTTTTTTTGTATACAAAAATTTTTGAATTAAAAAAATATTTTTTTTTTTTTCAACGACAGATATACGTATCACGAATCTTCGAAACACCTTGTGGTTCATTCCCGAGGTATTGTCTTAGTTTCGGGCGGGGGTGTTTCTGGATAACAATAGCCAAGGGGGTGTGGAGGGTGAGAAAGGTGACGCGTGGAACTGTCGGAGAAATTAATCAAATCGGGATCAGATCGATAGATGGCGTGAAAGGGCGTGAACGATAGAAAATAAACGCGAGACACATGGGGTTGTTCCTAGTAGCCGTGGACGGGGCTCGTTCGCGGAACCCAGGAAGGGCAGGACCTTCCCCAATAAAGCAGAGTCATCTTCTGATCGATATTCTTTCACGCTTAAACCGCCACGGTTGAAATCTCCCGCGTGCGACGCGCATATGACTCTTCCACCCTTTTCAATCTTTTACAATGAAAATAATAATTTCAACGCTCGTCTTTAGGAACGTTTATCTCCGATTTTACAAATCTTACGATTACCTTGAAGATCGCAGCATCCGATTCGGAATCTGTAGCGAATATTAAAGATAACTTAATCAGTAGGGAATTCGAGTCGTCGGCCACCCTTATCATTCCTAAGGATAATTATTAAAGTCAACAATCGACTTCCTACCGTCTTACTGGGCCTGTACTTGAGGAATATTAGTACCAGAAATTCCAGGAAGACGTTTTCATCTCGATTCATAATAATAAGTTCGTATGGACCACTCGAACCTACTTTGGAATTTACTCTCGCATCAATGTACAGTGGATCCATCAGCTGGATTGAGATTGAGGCTTCTCTAATTTAATCACCTGTATATTTTCATTGGTCTGTAAATCAAGGGATCATTGTATGGACCCAGGATGCTGTAAGAGCACGTGCAACGCCAGTATCTAAATATCTTCATACAGTCGTCCGTCAATAAGAAACATCATGCTTTACAATTAATTATGACTTTTCACGTTTTTGTTATAATTCTTAAAAAAGAAAAACTCAAAAAGTTCTTCATCACGAATCATCATGGTACCACGATGCCCTTATCGCTTCACAGCATCCGATTGCGTAATTCCCCGACACGTGGTTCATCGGTATAAAAGTACCGAAGGATGAGTACTCCGGGAAGGATGTCAATGACAAGTGTTTTTATCGTAGCATAGTAATTCAAAGGCATTACACGACTCATTAACCCCCGTGAGCCTTGATCGTTCGATTCGACACCCGGTATTCTAGTCGATTAATCCGGTTCAATCGATTTCACACGTTCGTTCTTAAAACACTGTAGGAATGTATAAAAACAATGTTTTTAAATCATTGAAGATCCAATGTAATCATTTTCTATTTTCCTCGTACGTTCCATCTATACAGATCCAGAAAAATCCACTATCGATTTTCGAAGTCAAAAAAATATTCTGCAGCTTCTCTAATAATTTTTGGACGATCGACCCTTTCCAAGGGGGCGCAACAGTGCAACCTGTTTTGCATTCAATTAACATTCTCAATCCATGACGAGGGTATACACGGTGTCGAATTCGTTCTTTTCCCCCTGAAAGGAATTCACGCCCACTACTTGAAAACTCTTTGTTGCCACGTGTCCACCATCTTGGTTCGATGTTGCAATAATAATGGCTCCCCGTTGCACAATTCCCCGTGCATCATTCGCCGAGCAAATATTGACAATCCATAATGCAAAATACACACTCCCCTCGATTAATCAAAATTCCACCTGACATAGTAAATAATCCTTAAGCGTGGTAACGAACCCTGATTTGTCTCTGTGTCACGTTAAATTACCCGTAATAAATTATTAAACGCTAATAATAAAAACGCAAGAGAAACCCAAAGGTCGATTTCATCGCCGTCTCCCTGCGAGCAGCATGTTTTGTTATTGACCCGAAAATAATGACGGTCGATCTGCATTTCGAGGACAATTTCAGAGCAGCTGCCACAGCATCAGCCTGGACCGGGCACTGATCTCGGGGAGGCAGTTGGGGCGTGGCGCTTGGGAGATGTCGGTCCCATGATTGGTCCAGACCGTCTAAACATTCTACTGGCGTAGAAATCGGTGCGCGAGTGCACGCGCAAGGTAATTACGTATTACCAAGTAATTTGCACGTTGGTTGGTCAGACTCAATTCGGAAGGTGGAGATTCGCATTGTATAATCAAACCAGCCGCCCCCCTCCCCTTACCACCCACCCACCCCACGCCAATAACATTGACCACACGTAATCCATAATCACTACCGACGCGTGTAACAGGATAAAATATTTAATTCTCGCATCGAATCAATTTGATTTTCAGAATTGCACAAGAATTCGCAAGGATCCGACGTGCGATGACGTCCTTGACGGTGAAAGGATGCAGATGGATCTTAGTTGAGTTCCAAGGAGTGCAGGAGGAGCAGCTAGAATATCGCGCCACCTACTGAGAAATCGACTCTTCGCAGAAACGAACGAGTCGATGACCGGGTACGTAAGATCGTAAATCCAAGAAACGGATGCTGTCGAACAAGATCGGTAAGATCTGTTAAATGATACAAAAATACAATATACATAACAATATATAGCTATAGTTGCGTTATAAATCACTGAAGATCGATATACATAAATAAGAATTTCATCATCCGATATTGATCATCTGGAACGAGTGTCTAAATCTAGAGCTTATACTATATATCTGTATATAGAATATATATAGATATACATGCCTTTGCCATAGGCAACCTTATCCTTCCATGTAACCGTTTACGACTCGTGGAAAACGTTCACGCGTTCTACGTAAGTCACCGACGATTTCAGCAAATCATGAAAATTCATAGGGAACGTTTCTCGGGAGCAAGTTACTCGGTTAGCCTCTTCGTAGTTTCTGTTACTGTTTCTACGGTAGCTTCGCCGTAGCTTTTCCTCGAACCGACTTGTTCGATTGGACAGGCGGAGACCTGCTGCACGGCATTCGAATCGATAACACTACTACGAAAGAGGTTTGAAACTGGGCTAATCAGTACTACACTATATTCTCATTAACACGGTATACAATACGGACTGATAGTGCCCCACTTATATCATACGTAACAGATTTATACATATTGTATAGCTAGTGACGATCGATGACGCATTATGCATAAAATAATAATGGAAAATTAAATCGTAATTTGCGTAAAGACGTAACGATAGTCAGTGGGGAATTCCCGGAGTAAATAAATACACAAGTAATAGTTAGATGATCCTCCAATCCCCTCTACCCGCTGGAACATCCCAGTCTATTTATGCGCCATTGCACGTCTGTATACTGTAGGCAGGTCTTGATGAAGAAAAATAATAATCACAATCTGCCTCCGTAGGTAGAAAATAAGTGAGAGAGAGAGAGAGACCGGAGCTTAACATATGTACCTGTTTTAAAGAGTGCGGATGCTGTGGAGATGATACCGACGAAAGAGGATTTGTATCTATTAATAACACGATGGCAGCCAGCAAGTGAGTCCGAGACGTGGACACGTGTCGGTTGTCGAGGATCTCGTAGCTGTCGAGAGAAGAGTTCAGTAAACACTCAGCATCCTTATGAACTGTATGGGGTATTGGAGATGAAAAAAAAAAGGGAAAATTTGTGAGATGACGTAGGACGGTGTTATCGGGAAACAATTAGTATCACTGGGTAATTGGTGGTAATTTGGTACAGTGGATGTTTTATGTGTCTTATGTGTGTTGAGAAAATATATATATAGGTATAGCTGCTCTATGCTTTTTTACAAGCTGATCGTTTAGGAAGTGGATGACTGGCGTCTTTCAACCCTCGTACGAAGTTTTTGCCCCCTTTGGTATCTCTCACCCTCAAATCGGCCTCGTGTTACATAATTGAGTTATAGTCTAATGATTCCGTGAATCTAAGATGCACCTCTCTTCCTCGAACGATCTATTATATTGTGTCTGCTGTCTATTGGTACGGCCCTGGCTGTTCGTTCTACATGCATATTATAATGTAATAAAACCCTTGTTAGGTCCCATGGTGTATCGATGCCACGGATTAAAATCTTATGCTTTACGGATTTTTCCGGTCCACGTTCGATTATTCGTTTTGGTTGGATATACAGCATACAGCCAACGTCCCACACACTTGACTCTTATACATATTGGAGAAAAAGTTCTGCTGGCCAGTTCTTGGATTTGCCAGAGATCAATTTATATTCGAAGAATGCCATGGACATTGGTAAATAAGTCGTGTGTGGAATTTTTGCATATTTTAGAAAAAAAAATATCTTGAGCCCTAAAGCCAGATAAGGGTATCGATGGACCTTTACGAAGACAATAGATTTTTTACGTAGACTATGCTCTAGATAGAATACGTGAAATACTAAAATTCTATGAGTAGTTTATAATCATCAGTAATTTGAAAAAATTTTGAAAATACCCTCAGGCTACTAATCTCAACAATATAGCATACTATTTTCGAAAAATATATCCAAGAATATATAATGACCCAACGTAAAGGTGTTATTTACAATGCACTTGAATAGTCATCGAGCATCTTTTATTGCGGGAATAAAATGAGACGTCAATTTTAAGATAAAATTTTTGCAATGATAAAAACATATCTTCGTCATAAACACTGACGAATGTTTTTGGCACGGTTAGTAATGATCTGATCGTTACGCCGTCTTACGCAATATCTTAGCTTAATTCTAACTTCATACAGGTACACCTTACATGTACTCACACACGGCACCTACGCATTCACAATCCTACACCAAATCAGCCCTCCCATCCAACAAACAAAATCCCAGTTACGAAACACACCATATACCGTGTGTACTCACCTTTACTTTACATCGCAGTGATCCACGTGCCTTTTACCATCCACGAACCATTATCGTAGAAACGGTGTGTATACACCATAAACCATACGAAAATATCCTAGATTTAAAGCTCATAAATATCTCCTATCGTCGCTTAACAAAAGCTGTATAGTTAAACCACGGAGCTATGCCAATGAATAGCATCTGTCTATGTATAGGTCGATTCAAAATTCCTCGAGCGTCTCGACTCTGCAGCTAAGTACGATCAAGAATAGTTGACTCGTCGAGAAATTCAGTATAAAAAGAATATGCATCGCCGATTGTAATACGAGTTTGACAAATCATCCAGTACCCCTTCGTCCCTCGATTATATGAAATCCCATAAGAAATCATATCCTCTTGAAATTCACTATACAGCAAAACCATATCAGCTATATAAGTAACGTGTGTTTATGAATAAATTGGTATTACCACCCGATACACATGTAACTTTCACGTGCAATTGTATAGCGTGTATGTCAAGACTATATGCAGACACACTATATGCTCACACCCACTAAGTCCCGTTCACATGAAAATAAACGTCTTCTCGAGAGCGCACGCGCCCCACCACACGGAATCTACATAACCGCGCTATACGCGCTATACCTAGGCGCCGCGATATCCACGCATTCCGTGTCTACTTCGTTTCACGAACGAAGCCGCGTCCGCGAGGTGCAGGTTGGTCCGTGGAAGTTTCTGGGAAATCGTTAACGGGATAGAGAGAGAGAGAGAGAGAGAAGTCATATGTATACAGATTGAAGGGACGTAAAGAGGGGCTAGAGGGAAATTTGCAAAAATTTGTCACTTGGCAAAATTTTCATATTATTCCCGGAAAGTGATCGTTTGTCTTCGGGAGCGAATCGGCTTGATTTTTTGAGAATCTGTTACGGGTATTGGTACTACCGTTACTTCGTCCTTGAATTCTTTTCAAGCCCCGGGCTACGTACTGCTTCTGGTACTTTGGAGACTTTTATCCACGTGGGACTGGACACGGTGTTTTCATCTTGAGAGAGTAAGATATTTATTTATTTGTTTACATCCTTCTTGGTGCATCTGTCACTGTGGCTTTGCATGGCATTAACGAGGATTTAATTGGATATGATAAGATGGGTCGTAGATTCAATCGATTTCAGGACTTTGGTACGATAATGGTTGTTGGGTCTGATTAGTATTTTCGAAGTGGATCACACTGTACATGGATTTAATATAAATTTTGATAAATTGGACGTATGAAAATAACGCATTGAAAAAATTTACTACGAACAATTGACACTGTCAGTTATGATTAACATATATTATAAATAATGAAATGGAACGGCATAGAAACGCTATAGGTTAGCGAATGGAATAGTTTGGTGGGCAAGATTGCGTCATCGAAAGCGGAACAAGGCTTTAAGGTTACCTTCGTAATTGGTGCTCTATCAGACACGTTTCACTATGCCAATAATAAATATCAAAATAATACTACGAGCTTCGATTTAATATGACGTGTTATTAATAATTGAAATGAAAAAAAAGGTTTCTGTTATCTACTTGATTGTATAAGAAGAAGAAAAAAAAAACAAAGCATACAATACTCGGGTGGAGACATCAGTTCCATTTTGAGGGGCCATCTCTTTACAAATCCAAGCGTAAATAAGTCCCCTCAAAGTGGAACTGATCCTACGGCTTGACTATATAATCTTATTATGCCTTACAGAAATAATAAAGACCCATTCACTCTATGCTAATTAGAATTCGCGTTGTTACTATGTTTGGTTCAGCACGGGGACTAATTGTCGTTACGTAACAGACGAGACGTTGAGGGTCACCCGTTAGACCGGTTCCTTAAATTATCTCGTGTAAGCGGAAACGCGACTAGACCTTGTGGACCAATAATGAGTATATAAATTTCTAGAAACGGTACGAATCGCTGATTGATCATTAGTAGAGGCGAAAGGTTCAAAGTGCAACGTGGAGTCTTTGAAGTAGCACTGAGCATGAAGAGCAAGGTGCTCCTTGGTATTTGTATTCAAAATCCGCAGGTTAGAGGGTTAGGTGCAAATTTTTGCGTAATAGGACTTTGGTTGGGATTGTTCAGGAGGAGTCGGATACATTTTAATTATCGGGGACGAATAAAGGTTGTTGATTCTGGGGACGTTTCCATAGTCTTAGTTTGGCAATGCTTGCTGTGCCATAACAGTCGAGAATCTTAAAGGTAATGGCAAGTCTTTAACGTCCTTTTTTTTCAAATCTAAAAGAACATACTCATCAGCCCAGAGAGAAGGCTTATTTGTGTTTCTATAATGTTTTACCAGCCCACGTGACACTTACGTGTTAATTACTCTGTTTGCAGCAGATGTAGTCGCAAGTAAGTTTGCTGCTGTTGATTTATCCGTATGGTAATGCGTTGTTCACAGCAGGTAGTAAGAATTTCGTGTGATTTCTGTATGATTAAATTAAGGAAATTTTAAAAGGCCTTTATTGATTACGCTTATGTGACATTGATATATGCATTCTGCGTAATAGTGCATTGATCTTGATATCGTGTATGAAATTAAAAAAAATTGATTGATTACTCCATTTTTTTATCTCGAATGATCCGGAATGTCGCTGCTTGTGCGTTTGCTGCATTAATGCTGGTTTAAGTGATGTCAAGTGAACCCTGCATGGTTGTAATGAGTCCAGTATGGAATAAGCAGAGTGACCTAGATTCATAGGAACGATATGCTGCTGACGAGAAAAATTCTTGGGAATAATTTTTTTTTATACTCGCACATTTCGTTGAATGAAATTCGAGAACACACGTAGGAATGTTATTCGTTTCGGAATGAAATTTATAGACGTATGTAATTGCTCAGATGTTGGAGGGTTCAAGCGAATCAATTTTGTGAGTATTTTTGGCATATCTATACGGTTTATTATGTATATCTTTTCAGCCGTGTTTTTAGTACATCGTGGAAAATTAAATTATTGACTTTTTTCGAGGATTCTCAATGTCAGGTACGTCATACGTAAAGCAAATAACACTTATTGGGATCGTCGAAATATTCTTTATTCAGAATTGTCGTTATTTGGAAGAAATGTTTTTTTTTTATATTTTCCTTGAAATTCACCACTTTCGTAATAATACATTACCAGGTGTAATAATAGGGTCTATCGATCGAACGTTCAAGCATATAAGGGATATAGAGAATTTGTACGCCTTGTCGAATCGGATAATTAGCGCGAGCCCTTACAACTTATACAGGGTGTCCCACAAGACATACCTACAATAATTGTAACCTTAAAAAAAGTTTTCTAAACTTCAACTAAGAATTAGAAATTTAATTTGCAAAATTAGGAAATTAATAAATTCGTAAAAGCCCGACGAAAATTAATTTCCTTAGTGTTACATCTTACGCCTTATATGTTTCAATAACGAAATAACCAATGGCTTTGTATAAAGGAGAGGAAATTAAAAGGAAAACCTCTTCCGGGCAGATTCATCAGTTTGATTCAGGTGCCAAAAAGCTTTCTTGAAATTTCCATCACTTCGCTCCCCGCCCGAATAACCCAGACGCCAACACACAATACGTACAATGACAAGACTTGGCACGGATTTTGCACGGCGTTCTCCACAAGAAGCGAATCGATAAACGTGAGCGTCAGTCCGATGTAAACTCTCGTGCGGTCAGTCGATTCTCAACGTTCCTCCAACGACAATCAACGCTCTAGGTTTTTGCTCGTTAACATAGCCTCTCGGGACAGTTTTCGATCTAATGAAAATCTAAGGAGAGCCGAGCAAAGGATTTTTGTCAGTTGGGTAAGTTTGATTTTGACCTTGATACCTTATAGTTCGAGTATTCATTTTTTCTGCGATACACTTATGACTAATTGTGAACTTACGTCTGATCGCGTTGCGAACATTTATCCGTTATCGGTCGACAATGTAAAATGCACTACGATTGTATAATTCGAAACGTGCTGCTTGCGATAATAAATCGTGACACACTGACACAGATTTGCCGGGCACGTGCTGGTGGGAATCGAGTGGTTTTCTTGTTGTTTTCTTTTTTTTTTTTCTTACTTTCCATTCATTTTTTTCTTATTCTCTCCGTCGATGTGGCAGTTTCGACAGATCGGTAAAGAAGTTTACTATAAAGGAGAGTGCGAGAGGAACATACATGGCGTTTGTTATTTATGCTAATGCGTGTCCGCGGCCCTCGGGGACTTGCGTCACTATTTCTGTGTAGGAGTACAAACGAGTGTATCGCTCGTTCTACAGATGTCTCTATTGAGGCGATTAGCGGATAGTCTGACTGGTGGGTTTTTAAATATCCCACAAAGCAATAGATCTGCCTGTACGACGAGATGGAAGAATCTGTAGATTTTTGAAGCGATAGAAAAAAGAGGCATCCACAGTTAAATCCAGCTTTTCAATTGTAAATTTTAAATTAAATTGCTGAGCCCTAAATTTGTTGAAAGAGTCACGCGACTTTTGAAAACTCTGCCAATTATAATTAAATAACGTATTGATAAAGCAAAAATTACCAACCACGGTCAAGTCAGTCTATTATTTTTACTCTATAATTTTTTAAGACCAGATCAGACAGATAAAAAACGTACGCTCGTTACGTCACGCAGTTCACACGAAAACTTTACACTTCTAACAGGTGTGACTGCTGAACCGACCGGTTGAGTCGGTCGCGCCAGAGTTCAAAGTTCAGGTTAACATCGACCCGTGAAAACGAGGCTTTAAGAATTTTCCGCAGTTCACGGGTTATCCGGCTGTGGGTTAGACTGGTCGTTAGCCTTTCTTTTTCGAAGGGTTCAAATATAAATATTTTCTTTTTATTCCACTACCGAATTTCAGTATCCGGCATCAAATTGTCTTTGCGTCTATGCACTCTTATCTTTTTCCTTTCGGGAGCCTCTTTCTTGCGCCTGTACCTCGTCTGGCTCCAGCATTTCTCGCGAGTCTGTTGAACTCTGGAATGAGAAAGTCAAATATTTGGCGAATGACTCTATTGCAATCCTACGAATTATGCAACCTGACCGTGTATGCGAATTCTCGCTTACAACAGTTAAGATCCGCGTTTCTTACGGTTTGACGTAAAATCGACAGAAAAGTCGAGTTTACTAAATAAATTGTTTTAACGAGTAAATCGACTCGTTCGTTGGAATACGAAATTTTCCGTGGTAATTATCCGTCAGTGATAATGTGGTAAAATGTAATTAATCGATGACCTTGAACGAAGAAAATGATGCAGGTAATGACAGCCTGGCTTGCTGTCATTACTTAATCAAATTGCTGATGACTTCACTTGGCATATCTATACCTTCGTGGAAGGCTTCGTTCTCCAACTGGTATCCAATGGCTTTGCTGTTTACATCCAGCGTATACAACAATCATTTAAATTCTTGATTAAAGCACCAATCATTGGGTCCGATAAATTATACAACAAATGGTCTTAGGATAAGACAGACAAATTATTTACTTAAAAATCATGTCGAAACTGTCATTTTCACTGTCGCAATTTCGATACGTCTAATGATACCCACTGCATTCTTGACGATCATTATCGTAGCATTAGCCAGAGCGTATAATGACCGATAGAAGCATTCTCTCCTCCAGTAGATAAGTAAAAGGGGAGGAAGATAAAAAAAAATACAAACCAGGGAAAGAAAATGGAAAATCGATATCCGAGATTCATAGTCGCTTCAACGTGACACGAAATTTCATAGTCTGAATCCATCGATTCTGATGAATCACTGAAAAAGCTAATCTTACGTGGTGACTCATTTCAGCGGAAGTGTAAATCGTAGATTGGATTTTAGCAATCCGAGCTCAGGGAGAATTTGACACAAGTCATATGGGTCATAGCGGAGTCTCTTTTTATGTTGATATTTGAAATTGGCGCGCTTTTGTATATCCAACGAAATATTAGTTAAGACTTCGTCCGGCGTCTCAGGTGAGAGTGACTGAAATACCAGGGAAACATAAAATAGCATAGCGCCCCCACGCTAATGTTACGAACTGACTGCCGTTCACGGTCAGCGGGCCAAGGTCGTTTCTTTGCCAGCGAAGTCTCACATGTGGAGAGTCGAACACGCATGACTCTCACGCATTCGATCACTCTCACGCACTATCGCTTCGTACTCTCACGTGTGATCGCATATAAGGCGTGGACTTTATGCACGCGTATAAAGGACTTAAGCCTAACCCACGTGTCATTGACCATGGGTGAAGATTGAAATTTTTGTTGAATTTGATCAAGTTTGAAAAAATGACTTTTTTAATATCGCAATTTTTTTATTGAAATTGGCAACTGTCCAGGGATTTTGAAACGGCCTTGGAGGTTGTTAGAAAAAATAAAATTCAAGTTTAGAAATTTTGATAATCCTTGTTGGATTATTAATTGAAGACTGTCCACGCGACAGCCTCGGGCTAATGACAATGTATTATCCTACCTAATTAGTGTGGTTGTTGCTAATTGCATGTATTATGCTCGTTGCCACGGGGCTGATTAAATATTTTCGTAGAACAGTGATTTTATAATTTTTTTGTATTATTTTTTTTTTTTTGTAGGGGGGTCGATTTTGGGCATTCAGACAATTTTTCCTGAGGCTACCTTAACTATTGTGGTTAGTGGGTGGGTGTTGAATTTATTTAAATGTGTCATTTAACTGCCGAACCCAAATGTCATATGCCGATCTGGTAATCGAAATTTTTGGACTGACGTATTTTTCCGTATTTTTGGTAATTCTAAGAAATTTTCAATATGAGACTGCGAGGTTCCTTTGTCCAATTGCTTTTGATTCTTATCACTGTCTAATGTACACGGTTTCATGTGATTTGTTATTCGTTCCAAATTCCTTCAGCCGTTCCGGACGAGCGACCCTCCGCACGAGGTCGGATGACTCGCGATTATTCTTGATTTTCCAGCATCGCACGGAATGATCCAATTACCTGGTTCTTTGAATTATTCATCTCGCGTACATAGTACCTTACAATAACGACCGATTAAGATGCGACGGAAATATTGCAATCTGTAATGACACATCGGCTATGTGGATTCTTCAAAACTTCCTTGTGGCTTCATGGAAACTTACGGTATTTTCTTGGAAAATATTTTACAGAGTGCAAATAATAAAAATTCGTAATCAGGACGTAATTATAATAAAATTTAATTACGTATGCATACATAAATCTTTGCTGTTAAAATTTATCAAAATTACCCGAATATTCGTTCCGCTCCGTTAATAAGATTAATATTTGGATTGCATAGTTAGCGTCCACACTCTTTTAATAGACTACCCGGTAGAAGGCGTGACGTTACCTTCCCGTGGCCCAGGCGCAAAAGGAAGGCCAATGTTACCTGCCAGTGCGAAAGTTCCCAGACTGCCCGATGGTGACGCTTTCTAAGGTGACGTTTGCATCAGCAGAATTTCCACTTAGGAAAACTGACCGCGGATGGAAACTATGCGTGTACTTTAGTCAAGGATCATTGTAGAAGTTAACCGACTTAAATCACTCAATGATTTACTCACTATGCGCTGATGATCATACTCAAGGATCAAAATCTTTCCTGCCGGATTCCCATGTTTCTTCTCATCGCCGGTTCTACCGGGACTTAACGACTCGCCGGGTTCCTTGTCAACAATCTCCTTCATTTTCTGCTCGCGCTACACTCGCGGTGAGCTACGTGGAATTATTTCCATAAAAATGAAAAACTCTGGGGTTTACTGTATCAACCATATTTTTTTAACGACAAAATCGGAAGTTGAATTTGACTTTTTTTTTTTGAAATTATTTGTTTTGTACGTATAACTTTGTCGGCAAGAACTTTTCTCGTATTGATCTACGACGTTAATGGTAAAATCGCAAATGATACTTTATGGATATCTTATTCGTGTCTATCCATGTGATTCATTATTGACCCTATTCAAGTGCACTTTCACTCGTTGCGCACTATCTCCGATGTCGTTTTCTCACGTAAAAATTCAAATGCGCAATACAAGGCGGATCTCCTGATGACGTCTGTACGATTTTCCCCCCGTGAAAACAAGGAAAAACAAATGAAATAATAATAACAAGCGGTTTACAAGATGCAAGAAAGAAGGTAGCAACGCGTCAAAATTCAGTCAAGCGATATCTTTATGCCCGAAGTGTAATTAATCACGCATATCAATTTAGACACGCGGATCTGATCGAATTAATACGTAAATATCCTATCGCCAATCAGTCAGTGATTAGGATCTAATTCAATCTGGGCACGGATATCCGGAAGTGTCCCGAAAAAAAAAAAAAGTTGTAACGATCAATCACAAGCACGTCGATGCCAACGATAAGAGATCGCTAGAATTAGATAACAGATAGTTCCTCAATATCGATCTATAGATCCAAAGATCGTCTGCTAGTCAGAAAACAAGTCTTATAACAGTTTCGTTCCTGTTTCTACAATCCAGGATCAATCGGAGAAAAAAACAGTGACCGCGCGCATGCGCAGACGATCCTACCAATGATACAGCTTGATCGATCCTTCTCTCGTATGACTCGGACAAGGTAACGGCCACTCCATTGGAATTACCGACGTGTCTCGTTGTGCAACTTTGACGTCACTAGGTCGTTACACTTGCGCGACCGGCTGATTCATACCTTCGCGCGCTTTGTATTCCGCGCCAACGCGCCCACTCGCCAACAGATGGATACGGGAAAGAACCGCTGGGAGTTTTGCTGCTTTAATTATTTCTTGCCGATTATCCTGCTATCGTGAAACAATCGTATTAGAAATCTGCATTTTTGCCATTGTTCAATCGTCCCGTAAACGAATTTCTTATACGCTGTGCAAAAACTAGGATAGATCGATCGCACGGCTCCGTAGAAATTCTCAGGTGCTGCATCCGTGATGGATGTAGGTCAAAGTACGTCGTAAAGCTGATCGACCGGAAAACTGTATAACGTGCGCATATATACATATATATACATATATTGATTGATTAAGCGCTAAACCTAGTAAATTATTAA